CCCCCCCCCCCCCCACTCTCCCTTCCCTTCCCAACAAGAAATCCTCCCTGCCCCGGCTTTGCTGGCCTGGTGCTGTGACCACTATCTAGCCCATAGCTGTCTGGGCCCTGCCAGGTCCTCATTGTGCAGCAACCACCTGGCTGGCCTCACCACCCCAGCCCAGGGCCCCTGCTGCTGTGCAGCTGCTGCTTGGACCCTGTCCTGGTGGCCAGACCCAAGCGGAGGCATTAACAACACGCTCCTGGATGCCACTGCTGGGGCCATCCAGGCCCTCCTGGGCCTCCAGCCCCAGTGTCTCTGGGCCCACCAGGTTAACCAGGACTGGTGGCTGCATGCCAAACAGCAGACCTGAGATAATGAGCAGTGGATAGAGGCATTCTGCATGACCTAGGCCACTTTCCAACTCCTCCTGAAGCAGTTCCACCCACACCTAGAGTGGCAGGACACCACCATATGCCTTCCCCAAAGACACCCAACTGGACATTACCCTGCTGAATCTGGCCACTCCCACCAGCCTCTGGTATGTTGGCTATATCTTTGGTGTGGGCAAGGCCACCACTGGGGAGGCTGTCCTGGAGGTGTGCAGCGCTCTGTGGGATGTGCTGGGGCACATGGTGCTTGTTGTGCACATCCCCCTGGCAGTAGTGACAGGGTTCTGTGCCTTGGAAGTCCCCATTGCACTGGAGCTCTGGATGGGACCCACATCCTTGCACCTGCCTGCCCCATGTTGACCGCCCCTACTACAGCCAGCAGGGCTTCCACCCCGTTGTGCTCCAGGCCATCGCTGACCACCATGGCACCTTCATGAACATAAATGCTGGCTGGGTGGGCAGTGCCCGTGATTCTTGTGTCTTCCAGAATGCTGACTTGCCAGCTAGCTAGACCCCCGCCAGACCCACTTAACAGGTCCACCTGGCCCAGACCTTTTGGGATGCAGATGCCTCCATCCAGCTGAATGGATGCTGGTGCACCCTCACCACCTGCCTTGAGTTTGCCAAGGACAACATCCCCATGGTCATTGTTGTAGCCTGTGCGCTGCACAAGATCTGTGAGGCCTGGGATGGAGGAGACACGGTGGGTGGAGGACTCCTGGCAGTGAGAACACCACCTGCAGTGGCAGCAAAAGCAGCTGGCCTCCCCCACTGAGGACCCCGAGTGAGGCACACACCCACCAGCAGGGGCCAGCGGATTGGTTGTGAGAGGCACTGTCTGACCACTTGCTCCTGCACTCCCTGCTGTGGCCCATCTGGACAGCTGCCCATGGACCCCTGCCCCACTGCCCACCCACATCACCATGCTCACAGCAGACATTTATCAGAAAAACATGTTATTCCCCTCACAGAAACAGACTCCC